CTAGTAAAAACATTACAGCTGACACCTCTCTAACAGTAGATTTCATGCCTGATGGAACCACCTCAGCTGTCAGACCTTCCCACTATGATTCACGGATGTTGGAATTATCCATTAAAACCAACAGTGCTCTCAAGACATCTGTGCAGTGCAGAGCCTTCAGGGCTCTGCTGCTCTAAATTTAAGTAAAGGCTGTTCGAGTGAGGCCACAGCTGTGAACAACGAACCGTTCACACAAGCACTACAAGTACAGCTCCGAAATCTGAAATCCGGAGCTGCTGGGGAGCCGCCCCACCCCCATCGTCGCAGTCCAGGGTCGCCTGGGATGCTGCTTGGGGGAAAGCAGCAGTTCCGCTCCCAGAGAAGACAGCCGCGCCTTGACGCATAAACACAGATATTTTATCTAAAGAAAAATGACAGTGGAAAATAACCAGGATTCCTCCAGCTTTGACGAGGCTAGGAGAGTGACTGTCACCTAGCAGAGATGAGCAGTCTGGGGTACAGGATGAGGCCTCGACCACCCACCACAGCTGAACTCTTCATTTCTCCCAAGAACACTGTCCTCTGCGCCTCAGCACTGCAGTAGTGCGCACTAGCCCAGGGTCTCCAGGGAAAGGAGATAATGAAAACCAAGATCTGACAGCTGAGTCTAAGAAAACACATCTGAGCAAACAGGAACCTAAAGGCACTCTCGGCAGTAACTGGAAGTTCAAACACCTCTCCATCATCCAACCAAAGAAGAAATCTTGAGAAATTTGAACAGACAGAGAAGAAATTGAAGCCCAGTTGACAGATGAACACTCAGTCAATGGATCCTCAACTCCCAATCCAAAGATATCTGGACCTTCTGTCACTGCCAGATTTACTGAAAACATAGTCATCATTGGAGGCCACTATGCAAGGGCACCACTGACATCTGCTCAGATCTATTTTGTCCAGAAAGGTCACAGGAGACATTGTATGACTCCAAGGAAGAGAGCTGCTGTAAATTTGCAAGTGAGATAATTAACAATTCCATAGGCAACTAAATGAAATGTACTCCTTGCTGGGAAGATACTCAGTGAATGAATGTCTAGTAGCTCAGGTAGAAAGACAACGAGAACTGTAAGAAGAAAGCAAAAAACTAGAGCCCTGCATTTGACAGTTCAGTGAACATCTGAATGTTCTGTGCTGGGGAAGTTTCCAGCAACACAGAACTACCTAGAATCGGAATTGTGTTCTTGGCCTTCAGGGAAGCAGGGCTCATGTTACAGGGTGATGAGATTTTGTATCAAATATTTCCTCAAAATATTTATGTTTTTATATATATGTTTTTATATAATATATACATAATATGCTATATATATATATGTTTTTATATAATATATCATATCCCTAATAGGAACATCAACAGGATCTTTATTTTCTAAAAGCTTTAGTTGTACACTACCCTTTTTCATAAAGTTGTACCCTTTATGTAGAAGTACAGCTTTGGTTGTACATAAAAATGGTTACATGCTGGGCATGGTGACACACGCCTGAAATCCCAACCTCAGGAGGTTAGGAGGGAAGCCACAAATTTGAGGCCGGCCTGAGCTATATAGTGAGTTCAAGGACGGCCTGAACTGGTCCCCATGCATAGATCAGGCTGGCCTTGAACTCACTGAAGTTCTCCTGCCTCAGCCTCCTGAGTGCTGGGGTTACAGGCATGTACCACCATCCCAGCATAATGATTTGTAAGCCTCTATGGTTTGTAAGATAATCTTCTGATTGTCTCATAAATTAACAAGGTGAAAGTATACTATGAAGTTTTAATCACCAATTCTCAACTTATAATTGGTGAAAATTTCATACTAGATACTAAATATTATGATATTGCCATTGTTTTCTCCCAAGTGAAAAGTGTGGATTATTTTGTTCTGTGGTTTATAATGTAAACTTTCTTTAATTCTTTGTGTGCTATGAATAATATTTTTATATTATTGGCCTTACCATAAAGTATTTGTGAAGATTTATTGTGACAGTTTATACCTCACTGGCAGTACTTGGGCATACACATCTCTCTGCTGAGACCTACACTTCTAGTGGTATGAGATTAGAAGGCCTATTTACTTATGTCTTTGGTGTCTATTTCCCAAAGATTTAAACTGTGTATCTTGTACATAACCTGCTGCCAAATTTTGGCTTCTGGGACAAAAAAAATTTTCCAGAATTTAAAAGTAAAAAGAAACCTAGTTTAGCCAAGTGTGATGATATATGCCTATAATTCCAGCACCCTGAAGGCTGAGGCAAGAGAATCCCAAATTTCAACCCAGCATGGGCAACTCAGTGAGAACTGTGTAAAAATAAAAAATTAGGCTGGGGATTTAGTTAGGTGGCACAGTGCCTGCCTGGCAAGTGTGAGGTCCTGAGTTCAATTCCTGAAACCCTAAAAATAAAAACTTAAAAAAGAGCTGCAGGGGCTGGGGATTTAGCTCAGTGGCAAAGCGCCTGCCTGGCAAGCGCAAGGTCGTGAGTTCGGTTCCTGGTACCAGAGAAAAACCAAAAAAAAAAAAAAAGAGCTGCAGATGTAGCTCAGTGTAAAAGGCCTCGGTTCAACTCCCAGTACCACAAAAAGAAAAGAAAGTCTAGCTTAGCATACTAACTTTATTCCAAAATGGTTTTCCAAAGTGGTATAAAATTTTAAGAATATGCCAGGCATGGTGGTGCATACCTATAATAAATACCAGCACTTGAGAGGATGAGACAGGACTGCCATGAGTTTCAGGCCAGTCTGGGTTACCTAGTGAGTTCAGAGGTAGCCTGAACTACAAAGCAAGACTCTGTCTCAAAAAAGTTTTTTAAGAATATATTTAATAAGTTTGAACATATAATCACTTCCAAAATAAGAGTATTACGAGAAGCTGGTTGTGGTGGTGAATGGCTATAATCTCAGCACTTGTGAGACTAAAGCAGAAGGATTAGCCAGGAGTGGTGGTGCACACCTGTAATCCCAGCACTTGGGAGGCTGAGGCAGGAGGATCGTTGTGAGTTCAAGACCAGCCTAGGCTACAAAGTGAGCTCAAGGCCAGCCTGAACTGCATATCGAGACCCTGTCTCAAAAAGACAAAAAAAAAAAAAAAAAAACAACAAAACAAAAAGCAGGAGGACTGCTGAAAGTCTGAGGCTACCCTGGGCTACGTATTGAGTTCAAGGCCAGCCTGGATTACATAGTGAGACCCAGTCTCAAAAAGAAAACAAAAAATTTTCCCAGAACGGCTTAAAGAAAATATTTGCATTGAAGTACATAGAGGTGTTAATGTGATCTTTTTCCAACACATTATGAAAGCATTATGACTTGGAACAAATTTCTTTATAGATCACTATCAAACAGGTTTGAGGACATAATGTACTTTCCTACCTGCTGTATTTAACTCCATTAATCTTTTCTTACTGCCCATAATGTGTATTAAAATAGGTGGGATAAACAAAACAATTTTAATAACTGTATGTGTATAAATGAAACACTGTTGTCATGGATTTAAAAGCTAAGTAAAAAAAATAAAATTTTGTATTAAAAAGTGAGAGTAGTGTCTGACAGAGTTGTGAAGATCAGATCCACAATGCCTGGTACACATTTACCAGTTTGGGCTCTCAGAACTGGACAGGCCTCTACCCTAGTTCTTTTCTTAAAGGAGCCACAACTTTTAAAAATTAAAAATGTGACAACATAGCTGGGCACAGTGGTGTGTGTCTACAACCCCAGCTACTTGGGAGGCTGAGGCAGAGGGACTGGACCTTTAAGCCTAGCCTTTGGCAATTTAGCAAAACCATTCTTCAAAGATGGAAAGGGGCTGGGGAGGCAGCTCAGGGTAGAGGCCTGGCTGAGTGAGGCCTTGGGTTCCACCTCCAACGAATGGGATTTAAAGATTTGTATTTTTTTTTTCCCAGTACCAGGAATCGAACTCATGACCTTGCACTTGCCAGGCAGTGACACTGACTGAGGCGTCGCAGCCCTGGGCCCTGAGCACGATGCTTGGGAATGGCAAGCGCCGCACTGGTTCATGTTTATCACGCCCCTTCAGCTTCAATCTGTTTTCAGTCTGGAGGTGCCATTTACTACACAAGCCTGGACTATGCTTCTTGGTTGCTTTTAATGGTGGCTCTGCTGCTCTGAAAAGTACAAACACTTAGCCATCTCTATTAGGGCATGTGTGACCTCAAGAATCAGAGCCTGGTTCAGCCTCACTGTTAAGACAAGGGTGGTCCACACCCCGACTTCCCAGTAACTTCTGCATCAGAGCTGGAGCGTCACTCGCAGGAGAGTGCTTGTTCGTCCAGTGGAGGCCCTGGCTTCCACCCCAGTGCTGGGTGTGGGGTGGGGGCAAAGTTCAGAGAGAAACTTCGCCTGTGAGGACCTGAGTTTCCACTACCCCTAATCCTGATCAATATAATTGACCTTGATATTGTAACTGAGCTTAGGCTAATTCAGAATTTTATTTTGGTCGGGGCCGGGAATTTAGCTCAGTGGCACAGCGCTTGCCTGGCAAGTGTGATGTCATGAGTTCGATTCCCGGTACCGGAAAAAAATCAAAAAAGAAAAAGAAAAATTAACAGAATGTTATTTTGGTCGTGCTAGGGTTGAATCTGGGGCATCTGCACTGAGCTACATACATCCCTAGCTCTTCTTTAATTTTGTATTTTGAGACAGGGTCTCACTGAGCAATAAATAAGTGCCCACAGAGTTCTGGGATTACAGATATGTGCCACCATACCCAATTTAGCAAATTATTTATAAACACTAAGAATTTTAAATTATGAGCCGGGTGTGGTGGCTCACACCTGTAATCCCAGCACTCAGGAGGCTGAGGCAAGGAGATCATTGCAAGTTCGAGGCCAGCCTGGGCTACATAGTGAGTTCAAGGCCAGTCTGAAGTGCAGAGTGAAACCCTGTCTCAAAAAGACAAAACGAAAAATAATAATAATAATTTCAAATTGAGAAAGAGCAATCTGCCAAAATGAAAACACTCAGAAATGCTACTAAATTTTAGACATGCAAAAATGTGTTTTTAATCAAGGTAAAGTTCTCAAATGCAGTGACCTGATAATATGCTGATTGCTGGCTGAAAACATTTGAAGGAACAGCTCTTATTTCTGTTTGTCTGTGTATTAGAGGTCAAGCAGACCTCACACAAGGCCCACACAAGCTCCTGCACTGAGATTCACCAGCCCCAGGCCTCTCACACCCACACAATTACATGCTGCAGGATCACCGCATGATCGCTGAGCGACTTGCCATGCCAACAGCTGTGCAAAGGGCAGAGTCACTTAAACAGAAGTTACGCTGAGACATTCGTGGAAAACATTTAATAATCCGCTTGTGTGGCACAGGAAATAGAATCACAAGTGCTAAGGGTGGTGTTGACTGATCAAAGTAACAGACACAAAACACAGGCTGTAGAAAGGGCAGGTCCTCAAGGGATCTGAAAGAGCAAAGGCCTTACTTTGGTCCAAAAGGAAGAAATCACTCTGAGACAGAGGGATACCCTGCATACTCGGGGAACCCTAAGATTCGAACAGCTGTCCCTCGTGTTAAAGATGGTATCACCTATCTGGACGGACTGATGATCTGACAGCAACTAGATCTCGGCCAATACAGATTTCTAAAGTAACCCTTAAAGTGACAGGGAGGAGCAAGTGGTTCCTCAGAGAATCTGGAACATGTCACTGGTGACCAAGCGCAAAGGTGACAGGCCAAATGAAACGCATAGGGGACACTGGCCCAAGGACACCGAATCCCAGTTAGGAAAAAATGTTCAGGAGCGCTGCTGTCCATCACGACTGTAGTTAACGTATTACGCAGTCAGCAGGGGCTGAGACAGGAGACAGGCTCTCCTCACGAAACAGGAAGTCCGAGTCATCCATGTTAAACTGCTCAATTTAGCCATTTCCCTGTCAAGACATCATGTTGTATGAGATACAATTTTTACTTGTACATTAAAAAGATAACTCATTTTGAAAAAACAAGAGACAGAGAAAGGGGGAGGAAGTGTGAGTAAAAGAACTGCACTATGGCGCACCCGCATATTGACTCCCTCACGCACTGTAAATACACACTCATAAACATCCAAATAAAGGAAGAACTCCCGGCAACAGCATAGGGTAGATGACACAGGTGAGAATGCCCCGGTGGGACTGTGAGAAGGCAGCGCTGACAGGCACAAAGAGAAACTGAGCCAAGCTGAAGGGTTCCTGTAAAGAACACAAGTTCTGAACAACCAGTCCAAAAATCACAGTGGGCTCAGCAAGTGGGCATGGGACATAGCCTGTGTTTGGCACAGAGCTGGAGACAGAGGCCGGAGGGAACACAGGGCCCTGGGCGGAGGGGTGGCTGTGGAGACGGCTGTGGGGAGTCACTGGCACAAGAGGAGGAAGCTTCCACAGTGAGAGCAGCTGTCCACTGTCACCAGGCTCAACAGGGACCTGCTGACAGGAGAACCAGCTGGGCCAGCGCTCCAGTGCTTCCCAGCTGTGATTGACCCTCTGAGCTTATCCCCAGTGCTCTCAGAATTCTCAAAAGTTACCAAAGGTGGAAAAGATATGCTCCTCCCACGAGTCCAGCTTTGAGCCCATGTCTTCAGAGAAAGCAGAATAGGTTTCAAAATTCTGGGCTTGGGAGAGACAGTCAGAGCTGCCCCCTGCAGCCCAGCTGGGGTGGGGCAGACAGCTCAGGTCTGCCTGCAGAGGAGGCTGCGGTGGTGGTGGAACCGGCTTCAAACCCTTTGCCTCAGCCCCAGGAGCTGATGGGTGGAGGAGAAGCTCCCGCCTGGCTGCAGACTGAAGTGATCTCCCACTCTGTCTCCGGGACTTGGCCCGCCTGTTCTGGAACCACACCTGGAAGAGGAGAGAGATACTACTTTACATCGGGAGTTTTATACATAATGCAAAATAATAAGTTCCAGTTGGGCGTGGTGGTGCACGCCTGTGATTCCAGCACTCAAGAGGCTGAGGCAGGAGGATCGCTGTGAGTTCAAGGCCAGCCCGAGGTAAATAAAGAGACTCTGTCTCAAAGTAATAATAATAATAACAACAACAATAATAATGAGGAGGAGGAGGAGGAGGAAGAGAAGAAGTAGTTCTAGCTGCTGAACATTCCCTGGCTCCCTATTCAGAACTTTTCAGTTTTCAGGAGGAGGAGGAGGAGGAAGAGAAGAAGTAGTTCTAGCTGCTGAACATTCCCTGGCTCCCTATTCAGAACTTTTCAGTTTTCAGAAAGCCCTCAAACTGGTGCTTAGAAGTCAGAGCACCTGGCTTTCTGGGTCTCATTCCCTGGTACAACCTAAAGGAATGCCTGATTCTGTCTATACACAGGGACATCTGTGATGAAAAAAGAAAGTAGTCACAGAAATAGAAGCACTTAGAATTCTTGGGGGTTGAGCTCAGTGGCACAGTGCCTGCCTGGCAGGCAGGAGGTCATGAGTTCGATTTCCAGTACCAGAAAAAAACCAAAAAACCAAAAAAAAAAAAAAAAAAAAAGAATTCTTGGGGTTAGGGCTGAGGATTTAGCTCAGCGGCACAGCGCCTGCCTGGCAAGCACAAGGTCGTGAGTTCGATTCCTGGTACCGGAAAAAAAAAAAAAAGAATTCTTGGGGGTAAAAATGATAGGAGCCCGGTGTGGTAGGGAATGCCTGTAATCTCAGCATTTGGGAAGGTGAAGTAGGAGGATCGCTGTGAGTTCGAAGCCAGCCTGGGCTACATAGAGACCCTGTCTTTAAAAAAAAAAAATAGGTGTTAGTACACACCTGTAATGCCAACACTCTGGGAGGCTGAGGCAGGAGGATCACAAGTTGGAACCCAGTCTGGGCTACATTCTGTCTCAAAATAAAAAATAAGTAAGTAAACAGATAAGCTGGGAAAGTAGTTCAATATGAAGGCCCTGAGTTCAATCCCACCACCACACACGAAGTTACTCAGAGTCGGGTTTTCAAAGTGCCTGTGCTCCCGTGTCAAATCCACAGGCGGATATTCTGCTCAGGGAACTTCAATGCCCTGCGTGGTTTCCAGGCTCTTTCCCCAGAAACTGAAGGTGCCCCGCTTGGGGAGCCCCCATATCCACGCGAGTCCACCCCCTCCCCGGGCTGCACCTGCCCTGGGACGCCGCCCAGGATGCCCACAACTGGGCAGGCTCCTTGCCACCGACCCAGGGTTCTGAGCTAAATGACTTTAGATAATATAAGCACTTTGAGGTTCCTGGTGCTTCAGGCGTCGCCTCAAATCACTGTACTCTTTTTAATCCCAATCCCAGGCCAAAATCTGCCAAGGGAGCGGCCCAAGGGTAACGCTGCGCCATCCCCGCCTGGCTGCCTTCTCCAACCCAGAGCCGGCAAGGCTCCAGCTGCACTTCCCGCCACAGTGTCTCCTTCTCCCCTGGTGCTGTGCCGCGAATTGAACGCAGGACCTCTGCGCTCAGCTACACCCCCAGCCCTTTTCAAATTTTCAGGGAGGATCCTAAGAAGTCACGAAATTGCCGAGGCTGGGTTCGCACTTGTGAGCCTCCTGCCTCTGCCTCCCAGAGCGCTGGGCTAACAGGAGAGGCCGCCACGCGCGCCCGTCCTCCTCCTAGACAGGAGAAAGCGTGAAAGCGCTCTCCACCACCTCCCGCGGGCCTTTGCCCGCGCCGCCCGCCCGCTCACCTGGATGCGCGCCTCGGGCAGCCGCGTGCGCACGGCCAGGCGCTCGCGCAGCCGGATGTCGGGGTACGCCGTCTGGCGGAAGACGAGCTCCAGCAAGCGCAGCTGCTCGGCGCTGAACGACGTGCGCTTGC